CACTCAAGAAATTGAATGGGTAGTTCTAGCCGAGGAAAACTTTGGAAGCTGGCAAGATTTTAGTTTACTTCTCAAGAGCTTCCTAAATGGCGATGATAGTGAGAATGAAAAGAAGAGTCTTATCCAAGAAGAAAAATCTTGTGTGGATGTGGCCAAGGCTTGAGACTCTGGGAACCCCCCTCACTTGTCAAAGAAGAAGTTTCTTAATCAATTTCCCAAGCAAGATTTAGCTGATCTATATTAGAAAGATCAACAGCAGAGATGTGGTAGTGGTGAATAAAATTGCCTTTCTTGATGGGTGGGGCTGGATTCTTGACACTCCAAAACAAGCTTTTTGGTCTTATTATCATGCGTTCCACCCAGATAGGGTGGTCAATGGTTGGAAACTTCATTTTTTTTTTTTATATGAAACGAGTATTTCATTGATAGTATGAAATATACAAAAGGCCACAAGGGAGAAAGACTGAATTCTGACAAAGATAGTAAATTTGATGTAGATATTTCTTCCATGAGTTAGGTTAGATTGTGAGCATAAATAATTCGTCCAATAAACATTCCTTCTACTGGTTGAAAATTTATCGATATTTTGTTCTTTATACAACGCTCATATTTAGACCAACTACCATCCTTCACTACTAACAAGACAGCACTTGAAAGTAGGCTTTTGCATGGTCCAATATCGATTATTTTTGCAACCAACATGTCACCCACCAATTAGTTCCCTGGATGAATGAATTCAATCAATATGGCTGCACATTATTATGGTGTGGTCAAGAGGTTGGTGGGAAGGAAGAACTACTGGTTTATGAACAGGCAATCTAACTGGTGCAACAACTCCCCTGCTCTTTAAATAGTTGTCTTTGTTTTCTCTGAAGGTTCAATTTCTAATGTTGAGCCCATGTAATATCCCTTTCATTTATCAATGAAAAGTTCGTTTCTGGTTAAAAAAAAAAATATCCCTTTCGTGTGTGCTGGATTGTACGCATCATGAACTCCTAGGAAACTTGAGTCTTGTAACATCCCTCTATTTTGTAATGGCATATGAGATGTAAGGCCTACTATAAAATTAATACCAGCTTGTCTCTTCTATGAATGGACTTGCATCTGCTTCCTCTTCAATTACCTCATGCATCAATTTATCCTCCTGCAAAACAGTGAAACTCCTTATTTTTACACCATTTTTCTTGCGCTAGAAACACAATCCTATTTCTTGCTTGTTTATAATTCTGCATATATTAGTTGTTTGTATCTTGCGTTAGCCCCCGTGCAGTAGTTTCATCATGAACTCCTGAAGGCAACACCTTGTTTTCATTGCTGGGGATGTTAGTTTGGGCCCACGTAATGGCTTCCAAATTTTGATTGGATCTTGGCATAATATGGCATTAATGCACATCATTCCTGTCTTAGAAAAATGTTATATTCCTTTTTGCGATGTGTTGTCTTCATTATTCTAACCCATCGTTTTCAGTATTCAGACTTCTGTTTAAATCTCAAGCTTCAAACTGTTGATGAAAATTTCTTCCTGCACCAATTATGATAAGTCTTTCCTTGTTATCTTGTTCGTTGTGAAAAACCTCTCTGCATGATAAGACCATCTGGATTTTACCTTCTAGTGCTAAATATTTGATAATTTCAACTTGTATACAGTTCACTCTGGTTTCTTTCTCCTTGGTTCGCTCTGCTTGTTCTTGGGCCATCGTCCTTGGTCTCCTTCGTCTTTCCACCACTATTATTTATTATCCGCTCCATCTGGTCAGACAGAGAACCTCCTTTTCTGCTATCTTCCGAAACTTTTCCTACACTGATTTGATTTAATTCTATCTTCATTATTTCCATCGAACTCAACTGCTTTCTACCAATTCTGTTCTTTCATCTATATTTTTATTCTTTAGCATTCTTCATATCATATTGCTCTGATACCAAAGTTGATGGAAGTTATAACACAACTTCCCAAGCTTTCAAGAGGCTGGGTTTCACCTCATAATTTCTCTAATTTCTCCTCTACAAATGCTTCTCCCATTATACATCTAACTGTCCACCTTATTTCCAGCATGCTAACACACGCACTTCCCACAATACCTTTCTCCTTTACTGAAAGCCCAACTGTCGAAACGACAACCTTCGCTTCTTCTAACTTAGGTAAAATGAAACATCAGGTTTAAGAAGCCTTTCAGCACATCCCACGGTGTCAGATGAGAACTCTGAAATTTTTAGTTCTCAACTTGAGAGGTTCTGAAACCAGAAGTTTCTTTTTTTAATAAATGGCTCTTATATTTTTGGGATAATTTTATATGACTATTTTTGAGCTTTCATGTGCATATATTGGCAAACACTATCCAGTTTTAGCATTTTATTGTTTTTGGTTACAGCATGGCCTCTTTTATCCTCGTCCCCTCTCATATTGGTGAATGTTTGTTTTAACTGCAACTATGTTAATGCAGCTTCTTGTAAACCAATTGGAGCCTTTGACTGAGCAGCAATTAATGGGCATCTGCAACCTGCAACAGTTATCACAACAGGCAGAAGATGCTCTCTCGCAAGGAATGGATGCGTTGCAGCAATCCTTGGCTGAAACGTTGGCCAGTGGCTCACCTGCAACTTCGGGATCGTCCGGGAATGTGGCAAATTATATGGGTCAAATGGCCATGGCAATGGGAAAGCTAGGAACTCTTGAAGGTTTCCTACGCCAGGTAAAATTTGGTTTTAGAGTTTATGTCAATCTATTCCAGCTATAATTGTTCTAATGTAAAGACCTGGAAGTGGTTTTACCAAAATGTGGCAAATGGGAGAAGTCACTTAGATAGACTTCCTTTCTGTGAAAACCATACATTCAAAATGCTCCAACTCTGTCTCAATGACAAGTTCATGTTTAGATTCTGTTAGCTGATTGGCATAACAAAACCTGTTGTTTTGTTTTTGCTTCCATGTGCATATGTGATTATGATTTCCCTCTTTTACTTTCCACTTTGTTATGCTATGTAAAGAGATTTCAATGACTTATTTCAAGTAAAAATAAAAGCCTCAGTTTTTAAACATTGAGAAATCATTTTTCATTCATAACAATTAACATTTTTTGATTCCCCAGAATCATTTGTCATTCAAAATTTCAGTTGCAGCTTGTTACATTTATATTACTCATATATTCAGGTCATGTTGCCTCAGAATCTGCTAGAAATAAATTAAGTTGAAATATTTGTTCTGTGGTCCACTTTTTCTTTTTGGGACTTGCAGGCTGATAATCTTCGCCAACAAACTCTTCAACAAATGCATCGCATATTGACAACCCGTCAATCAGCCCGCGCACTTCTTGCGATAAACGACTACTTCTCCCGCCTTCGTGCCCTCAGCTCTCTGTGGCTCGCACGGCCAAGAGAGTGAGGGGGCATGGATGCTCTCTCTCAATTTAATCCAAAGACTCCAATCAAATTTACGACTGCCGCCTCGAGCATTGGCGCTCCAATTTCTTCATTGGATGAACCTGCTTCTGTCATAGGAATTGTACAATGGATCAAGATGGGTAATGGTGTTTAGGTGAAGTTTGTGATTGATATATATAAATATAGTTTTCACATCTGCAGTTGTTGGTGTCAGTTGGTTATGTTGTATGCTTATTACAATAATCTTTTTACGTAGTTGGGCGATGTTGCATAGAACTGAATGGGAAAAATAGGTTGTATCTGTAACTTAGATTTGTATTACATCAGCTTATTACACCAGAAAATCATATTTATATGAAATTTTAGTGCCCTTTTTGTACCTTCTATTGATCTAAAATGACTCAGGAATGGAAGTATACAATTTCTTTTTCTTAGTATTTTCCTCCAAGGTGTTAAAATAGTAAACCATGTCACGATCTCCATTCATGCAGTAAGTAATAAGATAAGCATCTCTCCTCTGAGTGGTAATTTCAAAATTTTCATCATGCAAGTTTTGAATTTCTCCCATCTTATTGTTTGATATAATAAAGAGAACATGAAGATGCCTTATTTCCAGCATCAGATAACATAATTCCTCTCAATTCCACAATTAAAAAAGACAAAAAAAGCACATTAATAGTTGATAATCCAACATCTTCGAAAGTTTCACATCATCAGTCTTCTCATTTCAATTCACACATTTCAATTCACAGGAGGAACAGAATCCAAACAAAAATCTCCTCCTACAAATATATTAACACACGTGTGGCTCGATCCATTTTGAAGTTTTCTTTGTTCAACAGGTGTATACTTCCATATTTCAAAGCGCAGCCACTAACACGTGATTTTCAAAACAGAGTTGAAATCTGAGTTTATCCATTCCAACAGTATCGAGTTCAATTCCTCAGTCAAGCAAATCTGACACTGCTGTTTTCCTGAATGCATCAACTTGGGCTAATTTTCCTGCCAAAGCTTTGTTTGGAAACACATTATCTGCCTTCATTCTCTCTCTCATACCATAGGCTGGAGCCTTTGCATTAATGTATGCCTGTATCAGAGATTGAAACTGGGTGAATCGAGCAACGTAACCCGATAGCCTCATCCTATGAAACATTTTCTCTGCATTGTGGACGTCGCCTCTCCTTGAATATTGATCCATAATAATCATATAAGAGGTAAACAATGGTTTCATCTGGTTTTTCTGGACAGCCTTCTGCAAGAAAGAGTCTGCCTTCTCTACCTCCCCAGCTTCCACATAAAGCTTCACAACTGCATCCCACGTGACTGGGCCGATTCGGCAACCACTGTCTGCCATCTGCTTGACTAGATCCTTTCCCTTCATCAGCATCTTATTGTCTGCATAAACCTTCAACATGGTAGAATATTGTTTTGAGGACAGCTTCTTCCATGTCTTTAACACTCTTTCAAAAACTTCCTCTGCTTCTGGGATGTTCTTCAGCTTTCCCCAAGCAACGATGGCAGCCATGCATTCTTCAATACGAGGATTTGACTCACAGATCTTCCAGACCCTCCTCACGTCATCTTCCATTTGTAGCTCTCCGTAAAGGGGAAGTAGAATTCTGCAAGGCCATCGACGATCGTTGGCGCTAACTTCTTCCATCTCCTTTAAAATGGCCTTGGCTTTTTCTTTAAGCCCACCTGAAGAATAGTGCTTAGCTAATATCGCTAGAGTAGCTATATCAAGTTCAATTCCTTCAGCCTTCATCGTATCAACAACTTGTTCCATCCCAACTATGTCATTTGAAAGGCCTTTAGCCTCTATTAAGATTTTGTAAGTAAACAGGGAAGGCTTGACATTTTCTTTCTCCATCAACAGTAACACATCGGCTATTTTCCTCTTGTCAAGCCTCTTGTAAAGAAGAAGCAGCTGGTTGCAAGCAAATGTTGTGATTGGGAATTCAAGGTCTTTCATTTTGTTAAATACTTCCTCTGCCTTCTTTACATTGACGGCAACCACACAGTTGGCCAGAAGAGTTCTGTATATTACCTCCCCCTGGAAGGATTTTGGGATTTTATCAATGTAACTCTCTGCCTTGTGGAGACCTCGTACCTTTGCAATCAAGTCTAGGCGAGAAGCATAATCTCTGTCAACAAATTCGAGTTGTCCACTTGCTTCCAACCACTCTGAAAACTGGGAGCCCCCAAAGCAACGCCAGCATGAGTTCAAGAAATGAAGAATAAGAATGTAGAACAAATTGGAAAAAATATTTACCATAAACAGTAGTCAAGAAATTACTCAGTGACAATAGTTAAAAATTGCATAACCATTTTCATATCAATAAGGAATAGTTAAAAATTGCATAACCATTTTCATATAATAAGGACAAGGTCAACAATGAATAAATACTAATCCATATATATACTCAATCAAGCAGTTCCGGGCTGCTCAACCTAATATCAGACCAACTTAAAATTCTACTAGAGGATCTAGCACTATTTCTTGAATGCTGTAGGCCAGCTCGGCAATTTCTGTGCAAGCATTTGATTATGGTCAACACACCCAGGTTTACTGATTACCAGCGTAAATTTATATCAATCACCTAACAAACACGTCTTGAAATCATTTTTTGTTTAAAAACCACATCAGCATCTTGAAATCATCGTGTCTGCTAATCACATAAACTAAATAGAGTGATGCAAATCTCAAGACGAGTGAGATTAATCATAAACAATAAACCTCAAACCACACAAATAAGTTCCAATAGCTAGAAAAAGTAAAATCATGTCAAATTACCTGCAAAGCCTTCCCAAACATTCGACGTCTACGAAGATTGAGCATGGCCAAAGAGATATCAGCCCGGCTTAAATCTTTTCCTTCGCTGACCCATTTATCAAGTGCACTAGCAACAGAACCTGGAGCATTAAAAATAGCCTTGAACAGCGCTGAAGGAGCCCTTTTTGTTGATATCTTTTCAACAAGTTCAGTTTCAACCTCAGGTAAATCCAGTTCATTTTGAGTCCCATCATCGTCATCGTCATCCTCAACTTCTGTTCCAGAGATTAATCCCTCTTCATTATCATCAGCTGCTTTATTATCTCCAAGTGAACTAGTGCTTGGAGGCGTTTCAAGCTCAGAAAATCCATCTTCCAAGTCATCTTCCTCTCCACTGTTCTCAGCACCAGCTTGTGAAGATAGACCATGACTACTAATATAAAGCCCAGAGGATTGCCATGTTGCAAGTTTATTTCTCTCAAAAGAAATGCACCTATCAGATATAGCAGGGGCAGCACCCAAACCATCTATATTTCCTTCCCAAGAATATGGCATCCCTAGTTTGCCAAGGACGTATGAATTTCTTACTCTATATCCTTGATTCCTAGTAAGAGAACACAAAAAAATAATACAAAGAAGGATCTGAGAAATTGGAGGTATTATACCTTCGAAACCACAATATACACATGCATGCACACACACACATATATATATACACAAAAATACACACATACAAGAACAGAGTTCATCGGATGATTGAAAATGATGGGTTTGAGGAAACTCTCAGCAGCGAAGTTCATGTTTTGGGTATCAGACAAATAAGAGTATCAAGATGTTGTCCACTTTTTTTAGAAATTCTGATGAACAGCATTTGTTTTTCTTTTGAATCTAACTGCTTCATTCTGAGGTGATTTGAATCTTATCACTCAGACCATCTCCAAAGCTTCTTCTTACTTACGGAGAAAGAACAAAATCTCCCTTAATGACAGACAAACAATTATATTTGAAAATCAAAAGCCCAAATGTACAGTGCATCATAAATTACAAGATTGAATCTCAAAACCCAGAAATTTATAAATGGTAGGAATATTAAGAAAAAATCAGACAACAAACCCCAACCAAATGGAAGCTTCATAAGGCAGCTTCAATACGATTAAAAAAAGAAAAGAACTAATCACGCAAAGCTTTTTACTTCATTTCCTTCTCTAATGCTCGTCAACAATCAAACATCATCAAAGCACCGGAAACTCGTTCAGAATCAAGCAGAAATTTCTACCGACTACATATAGTTAATGAAAACCAAAGGCAAAGGGTTCTTGTATATAACAAAGTAAATCAAATTTCTTCACTAGAAAGAACATTAAGCGCCGTTTGGCATTAGCAAACGAACAATGTAATCTACACAAACTGAGAGGTCCGCTATGAAGAACACCCTCAAACAAAAGCTAAGAGAAGCGTACCTAAGAGGAGTAGAAGCTCTACGAAGAGCCCACATGGCGAGAAATTGAGAATAGTTGTGATGAAGAACTCAGCAGAACGGAAATGAAAGCGAGAGAGCTGAAATAGCAGTGGCAGTGGCAGCGACGTTGCTCTTAAACCCTAAAAACCCTTCTGAATGGGACTTTGGACTAACAAAAATGAAAAACAAACTACGTTTTTTCATCCCCTAATTTCTATAACGGCCTGTTTGATAACAGTTTTTTATTTATTGTTTTGATTTTTTTTTATTTTTTAATAAAAAGATTAAATTGCATAACCTCCCAGAATGAAAAAACAATATTTTTATTTATAAATAAGAAAAAAAATTGTTTGGGTTCTTTTCAATATTATAATAAAATTTTAAAAAAGTTCTTTTATATATATATATATATATATATATATATTATACCATGTAAGAATGTTCTTAAATAAATGATTTGAAAGTTTAGAAATTAAACTTTATAATTTAACTAACTTTTAATTCATTAGTATCAAGTGAAAAGAAAGAATATTTTTTATCCTTGAACTTGACCAGCTGTATAACTATCACTCTAAACTTTTAATTATTTCATCGAATTGAAATCGAAACAAGTGTTAGGAATTTTTACTATCTATTTATTTTCTTTAATTCACCGACTAATTTTTACAAAAATAATGTAAAAATTCACTAATCGGATGGAAATGTTGAAGTGCTGAGCCTAACGAATCGCAAAAAGTCTCCTATCTCTCTTGTTGTGATAGGGGCTTTCTCGGTCCGAAAAGTGCATTGTTGAAACTGGGGGCAAGTGTTCTTTGAAATGACTGAACGTAAAGGGCACGTAGGCGGTGAACCGATCAAAATTGTAACAGGTGTACCGAACGCTATTCCAGTAATAGGATCGTAAGAACCACTTTTTTATTGTGATTTTTATTTTTATTTTTTTGGTTCGATTAGGTAATAGAAATTAAGGAGAGATAGTTTCCATCAGTCAAAAGCAGAAATTGGAAAAAATTTTGGTATTAAAAAAGAACTGAGTTTAGCTGTTCTGGTAAACTTTCCACAAAATTAAGTTTGATTAATACAAAAAATTCACTATTAAATAACTCCGCCAAAACCTATAAATTTCAACAAAGAAAAAACCCGCTCTTTTATCGTTTTATCTTAATTATATCAATTTCATATCAAATATATATTTTATAATTCATTAAAGACATAGAATACTTATTTCTACAAATTTTTAAATGAAAACCTATAAAAGGGTAAAAATTAGCGACACTTGTCCAAATTGAAGGGGTACAATTTAATGAAATTGAAATTTTATAGGTTAAAAATTGATACACTAAGTCCATAATATTTTCCTTATTATTAAACACTCAATTATTACCATCCATTTAAGCATAGTTCCCTTATTATTAAACACCATTATTGTTATCCATTTAAGCATAGTAATATATAACCGACTAAAATAACTTGTTACTAAAAAAAAGTTTCTTAAAAAGAGTATGAATTGTTGTAATAATATTTTTTTAAAAAAATATAACCATTACAAATATGCGGTAAAAGTTTAGCTTATAAATAAAATTTGCAAAATCGAACATAGCTTAATGGTAATTGGTATATACATCCAATCAAGAGGTTGTGAGTTTGAATCCCCTCTCCAACATGTTATACTTGTTTTATAGTAGGGAGTTATTTCCTCTCATTATCTCCTCCTTGAACAGAGGAACGGAGGGATATGTTTTAATAGGAAGAAATTGATTTTTTTAAATATATATATTTTGGAATTTTGTAGCCTCCTTGCCAGCTTGGTTGGAATGGGTCTTTTGGGTTTATTACACATAATTAAAGGAAAAAGTTACTTGGTTGATAAGTGAATTTTCAATTTTTATCAAATTAAATTAAAAGTTTGAATGTGAATGATTAAAAAATTTAATGGATTATATTACAAGTTTATTTACATAAACTCTCCTATCTAATAAAATTTTAAATTTTCGAAAATATGAAATAGAGCTTTAAATTTTGAACTTTGAAACTCATATATCTTTTAACTTAAAGATATCTAGTAAATTTCTAAACTTTTAATTTTATATCTAATAACTCATTGACTTATAATATTTCTTTTTTTTTAAATTCACTGATTTAGTAGATACAAAATTTAGCGTTTAGAATTAGATGTGAATTTCAATCTCGTGTCTAATAATTCATGAATTTTTAAAAATGTCAAATTAAAAGTTAACAGACCTACTAGAAACAAAATTAAAAATTTAAGAATATATTAAATACCATCTTGAAAATTAATCAATTTGTAATTTAATATTTACGTATTTATATAAACTCAAAATTTTAAAAATCTAAATATATATTTGAGTTGAGAATTTTTTTCAATTTAGTCTCGATTATCTAAAACGTTTTAATTTAGTTATTTATGTTTTTACATTTTCTAATTTAGTCTCTCATTGTTTCTTGGTTCGAATGACATAAACTTAATGAATTGACACAAATTTAGAGGAGGTAAATATTTACCATCAAGAAATTTTAGAGAGGAATTAGAAATTTTTTGAGTGTAACTATTTTCATCCTCTAAAATTTTATTTATTCACTTAGTATTATATCACATAAGTTTATTATTAGTCATTTTAACATTTACCAACGGTAGGGAGGGGTGTGTTTAATTCAAAGTTTAAAAATCTAAATTTATATTTGAGTTAGAGAATTTTTTCAATTTAATCTATATTATCTAAAAATTTCAATTTAGTTCTTTATATTTTTATATTTTCTAATTTTATCTCTTATCTGTTTCTAAATATTAAAATTGAGTGATAATTAAATCATACAATCATTAAAATTGAGTGATAATTAAATCATACAACTTTACGTATGAATTGCAAGAAATTTAGAGGAGGATATAATATTTGCTATCAGTTTGTTAGAAATTTGATAGAGGAATTAGAAACTTCTTCGTTATAAGTATTTTGGTTTATTATCAGTCATTGAAAATTGAAAAACGTAACACAAAAAAATAGAAGGGGCTAAATTGAAAATTTCTAAATACTAAGGACTAAATTGCAAAAAAAGTGAATGATGAACAAAAAGTTTTTGTAGATCGAAACTACGAACGGTACTACGATAGGGAATGCAGTTCTTCAAAGTCGAGGACTCGATTATCATCAATACTTCTATTGGATTTCACTCGGAGCATTGTTCGGATTTGCCCTAATTTTCAATGTTGGATTTGCATTGGCCCTAACTTTTCTCAAGCGTGAGTTCGTTCGTTCGTTCTTTGATTGCTTTGAAATGCTAATTCAAATCTCGTAGTAGTACATATATGAGTTTCACATTTCGTTCTACATTCAGCTCCTGGATCGTCTCGCGCCATTGTCTCATATGAAAAGCTCGCACAAGCAAAGAGCAGTGATGATTGCAATGGCGGTGTTAATTCTGTGGAAAAAGCTCCTTCTCCT